AGAGGTTCCATAAACAGCTTACCAAGGACGATATCGTCAAAACGCGCTCACAGTTGTACCCAGGTTGCTGAACTCACATTGTAACTAATTGAGTTTAGACACTAAAAATATCAATGACATTTTACAGCGTGTTCAAGCAAACACTGAAGTTAAAGTATTCAATGAACATGGGAACATATCTATGATTTGCTTGAGTCGCAGGGAGCAAATGGCTGTTTACCACGCGTTTCCAGAGGTAATATGTATTGATTCTACTTATCAGACCAACAAAGTTGGGTAAGTAACGAATAGTAATAAATTTATCTTAAAGTTCTCCACTGTTCCAGCTAGTAGTGACTGATAGTCTTGGGCAAGGGCATACTGTTATGTATGCTCCTCGCAGTCAAGAACGACGCGAAGATGTCGTAAAATTATTGGAATGCTTTAAAGACATAATGTGCGGTACTTATGATACACGCAGTTTCGTTATGGATTCGGCAGCGACCGAAATTTCAGCAGTGCAGTCTATGCACAGTCATTCTAACATAATACTTTGTTCATTACATGACTTAAGAGCATTTTTCAGGAAGGTGTGTGTTAGCTGTACAAATTATTTTCTGTAGTTCCGAAATCCTGATGTACGCAAATGCTTGGAACAGCTTGTGAAGACTAGACGGTCTGACATGTGAGCTTCGCTTTTCATAACGCATTATATTCAGATTTACTCGGAAGTACGAACATCTAAGGACCCATTTCCCACGGGCGTATGATTATATAAAAGATTACTGGATGGCTCGGAAGTCAACGTGGGCTCGCCGTTACCGGCGACATGTATTAAGCATGGGCAACCACACAAACAACCGTGTCGAAAATGCTCATAAACACCTAAAAGAATGTCTCAGAAGAGGTGATTCTCTGCTATTGACGTTCTGGAAAAGTTGGAGTAAAACAGACACTGACCTACGTTTGCGTCCATATGACGCTGTAAAGGATCCTCAACGTTTCCCAATTCTTCAGGTAAGAAATATAGTTAAATTTATCATTAATTCCAGGTTCCAATGTCATTTCGAACTCTTTTAAATGATTAAAATTAAAACACAAAGTTCAGTGAAGGGATCTCTTTTCAATGAATTTATTATCAAGCTGTACAATCGTATATATATGAAAATTTTTTCTTTTTTGTAAAAGTACTAATTCCATGAGCAAATGTGAACACAGTTAACCATGACGTAGTAAAAAGATTATAATACTGGATTACGTAATACGGATAATAACAATAATAAATTCGTTGAAAAGAGAGCCCTTCGCTGAACTTCGTGTTTTAATTTTAAACTTTTAAATGAGTTCACACCTTTTCCAGCTAAAATTGTAACTGTAAATTGTAAACATGTTCGGACAGTGAGACACGAATTTGTAGAAGGAGAATACACCCGGTGCTACGACAAGGGTATGATGCATGTTGTTGATGCTTCACGTGCACGATGTGCTTGTGAGCGTTTCAATAAATACATGCTGCCCTGTGGTCATATTCTGTATGCACATTCTAAAGATCTGATTCGGGGAGGTAAGTGTGTGTTCCTTTGTCTCTATAAGATTTGTAGAATTATTTCGACATAGCAGTCAGTGGACAAGGAAATACATGATGGATTTGGTTCTTCGTGCGCTGGACAACATGTCAATCTCTATAGGGAGTGATGATCTGCTAGAGAAGTTCAGTAGCAACTACCACTCAATCCATGATCTTAGTGAACTTTTGGCAAGTAAACCCATCCGTTCATGCCTCGAAGCATCGGAAGACATATGCGCACAAGTGATGAGTTCAATCGGTGCTAATGATGAAGCTGCATCGTCAGGATTCATTGTTAACACTGAGTCAGTCAGTCAGTCAGCTACACTGACCATAGCTATGCTTCTTGATAACAAGAAGTTCTAATATTGTAATCTTTTTAGTTTTACATAAATTCACTTATATAGCCATTAACTTATTCTTATAGAGTAATGGCAGGGAGAGTGTACTGTGCAGTCTTGTGTGGCTGTGAGACAGGGATGTTGTTTCGCGTTCTTGTGTAATGATTACCAGTTTGGCGCACACACGATTAGTCATACAGACTGTTTATCAAATACTGCAATCTTGAACATGGTGTACTATACTACTAGTTCGAATTTCGACCTGTCATGATAGATAAGCATTGCCGTAAGTAAAAGACTGATGCGTTGTAAATGAAAACGTTTGTTAAAGTTTGAATCCAGCACAAATGATCCATTAATAAATAACTTCCATTTCTTAAGGATTGTTCCCGTTGGGTCTGTGAACACTTGTGAAGCCAGCTGGAAATAAGATAAACAGGAAATAGTTACTGCAGTATAAATGTTTAACAGAAACTAGTATAAAAACAGAGACCAGTATTCAATTACAGATCGAGAGTGCATTTAGCACACCCTTTCTTTGGATGGTCAATCACGCTTATCTCCTTCATCTCTTGCGTTGCTTAGGAAAGTCTGGGTCGCAACATACATGGATTGTATTATTTAGTTCTTTGGACAGATTGCACTTCGGAAACCTCGACAATGAACATATATAAAGACTACTATGTGAACTTACTCTGAATCGTCCTGTGTAATGTGCAATTATTGATGCCTATTTTATTTTGGTCCCACGTAAGGTAAAAGTAATTGTCATTTACGGCATCAGTAAGTAAGCTAGACAGGCCTTGGTTGATTTTCGAAGATCATCACATACGATCTCAGACAATCTGGTCACCTGAGACCAAGATATCTTGATTGTCGAATCGTGCTTTTCAATGCTTTTTCGTAACCGCTTTATATTAGTACTTATTTCTACTACTATGTATCTTTGGAAGTATACCGGCAGCCTAAACATTGCAACTCTGTACAAGAGGTAGTAAAGCTATCTTAGCTTAGTCTCTGATAAAATCTTCACATAATTATACTTCTTCCGCATGATTGTGATTTATTTCCTGCAACATAATAACTTGGTGGCCTATATATCTAACTGTAGAAGGTGATATTAACATCTTGGTATGTGTTATTATCATCTATAGCCTATACATAATATGTACAACCCTCAGGACAGCTAATATTCTCACTATCAACCTATTTCTGCCATAAAAGTCAAACAAAACAGTGAAAATCAGCCAAAATTAAGATAAAGAAAGGATAAACTACAAATCTTATCATGTGTAACACATGTAATCAGCAGTCACTGGAAGACGGGAAGACCTAAAGCCACAACACACACAATGTTAACTGAACACTTTACACCACAGAGAGAACGAGGAAGGGAGGCCAATGGACGTTTATTTTTAAAATTAAAATTCGCGGGTTCTGTACAGAAAGAGAGCTAGTTTACAAAACGGTCTTATGAGTCATCCTGTAAGTTTAGTGCGTGCAGGGCTTGCTCTTCTTCTTCTAAAGCCTTTATTCTAGCTTGCCCTGCAATAGAAAGAAAACAAAATCTATTAACAACATCATACATGATGATTTTAATCCCGTTACATCGCCCCCTCTCCTAATGAGGCACTGTCCTCAGTGCCTGATCTTGGGCACGGGTATGCTGTCCCTCCTTCTGATGGTACTTCGTAAAATCTAGCGGCCGGCGGTGGATCAGCGAGTTGAGCATCGAAGGGAAATGTCGTCCGATCGGGTTTTATCTGGTTGTAGTGCACCGTTATCACATCGTCTTTAGGCCGTTGTATGTTACGCAATACAAACGTGGTGGGCGATCGGATGAGGACAATTTCAAAGGGACCTTGCCAGGGTTGATGGAATTTACTGCAACCCCCTAGCGTCGTCATTGGGCGACGTAACCAGACACGATCTCCAACCGTATACCTAGGTCCTTGTGCTTGACGATCATATATATCTTTTTGGTGTCCACTAGCCTTGCATAAGTTAATGTTGACCAGACGGTAGGCATCAGCTAGTCGGTTGCGAAGAGTACGTATGTACGGAACATGCTCTTGTTCTTCGTAGGGCAGCAGAGGTGACTGTATCTCTACTGGTAGGCGTAGTTCGTGCCCAAACAGCAAAATAGCAGGCGAAAATCCCGTGGACCCATGTACCGACGTACGATATGCTAAAAGGCATTGGGGGAGCACCTCATCCCATAACTCAGGTGACGATCTGCTGACAAACGACTGCAAGATGGCTTTAATAGTTCTGTTTGTTCTTTCCACGAGACCGTTACCTTCTGGGTGATAGGCAGTGGTGTGTGTCTTCTTGATTCCTAATAGCCGGCATATCTCAGTGATGAGGTGTCTTTCAAAGGTTGGACCTTGGTCGGAGTGGAGTGAGACAGGGGCACCATAACGAGAGACCCAATGATCGATGAAAGCTCGGGCAACAGTAAGGGCGTCTTGCTGTGGAAGGGGTACAGCTTCGCACCATTTAGTGAAATAATCCACCATAACCAGTATATGGCGGTTCCCGTTTTTTGTCGTAGTCAGTGGTCCCATGATGTCTATACCAACTCGCTGGTGTGGTCCTGTCGTCACCATCGGCGTCATTGGTGCACGGGGTGTCTGCTGAGGCGATTTAAAACGGCAGCACGTGTTACAATTCTTGCAAAACTGAGCTACATCTTCGTGTATGGATGGCCACCAAAAGCATTGACGGACAGCGTGTTCAGTTCTCCGTTCTCCGGCATGACCAAGTTCGCGGTGTACCTGTTTCACAATACTCTCAACTTTCACTCGCGGTACTATCAGTAGGGGTTGTTTTGATTCATTCCTTAGGAATAATGTGTCACCATATAGTTTGAGGTTGCCCCATTTGGTGCAAATACGACGAGTTGTTACGGATTGATCTTTAAGCTCCCTCATGGATGGCTTACTATTTCCATGTAGCTGTCTTTGATAAACAATCTGTAAGTCTGGATCTGTTGCTTGTAGGGAGGGCCAGTCTGTCTCTGGAGCTGTACTAAGAATTGCGTTAATAATATCTGTGGTCTGGGGTATTCGGGAGAGGGCATCCGTGTTTGCATGTCGATTTCCCGGTCGATACTAGCATGTGAAATCGAACTCTTGTAGTCGTTCCTGCCAGCGTGCCACTTGCCCTTCTTGTTCGCGGAAAGAGCGGAGCCACTGCAGTGCACGGTGATCCGTGCGCACACGAAAGGGTTTGCCCAGCAGATAATGGCGAAAATGTTGTAAGAATTTTACTAGTGCTAACATCTCCCGACGTGTTGTAGAATATCGTGCTTCACTCTTATCTAGTCGTCGACTAGCATACGCAATGACCCTTTCGTGTCCATCTCCAGCTACTTGTGATAAAACTGCTCCAATAGCCGAGGAACTAGCATCCGTATCAAGTATAAATTCGCCTCCGTCTGCTGAAGTATCTGGGAAGGCTAATATAGGTGGAGAAGTTAACCGAGCCTTCAAAGCATCGAACGCCTGTTGACACTCGCTGGTCCATAAAAATTTTCGTCCTTTGTGGGTTAGTTGGTGTAAAGGTGCTGTTAATGATGCGAAATCACGTACGAAGCGTCTATAGTATGAAGCTAGTCCAAGGAAGCTACGAACGTCTTCGGGTGATTTTGGTTGCGGCCAATTAACAATCACACGCGTCTTTTCCTTATCTGTTGCCACTCCATCTTCTGTAATGAGGTGCCCTAAGAAAAGCACTTCTTTATGCAATAGTCGACATTGAGATGGTTTCACTTTTAGGTTATGCTGCCTAATACGTTGTAGGACTGCCTTCAAATTGGCATTATGTTGTTCTGGCGTGCTGCCATATACAATAACATCATCAAGGTAGATTAAGCACTGGTGCGGTACGAGACCTTGCAGAACTGTCTTCATCAATCGTTGGAAGGTAGCTGGGGCATTAGTTAGCCCGAAAGGCATTACTTGAAATTCATATAAGCCGTTAGGCACTACAAATGCGGTTTTTTTTCTATCTTGGGGTCGGACTTCCACTTGCCAATACCCTGATGCTAAGTCTAGCGTTGAGAACCAGCGAGCACCTTTCATGGCATCTAAGGTAGCGTCTATCCGTGGAAGTGGAAAAGAATCACGCTTAGTTATAGCATTAAGGCGTCGGTAATCTACACACAATCGTAGGGAGGAATCCTTCTTTTTTACTAAGACAATTGGCGATGCCCAGGGTGACGAAGATGGTACAATAATCTTTTTTTCTAACATATCTTTTATCATTGATTCTAAATGAGGCTGATAATGCACCGGGACTCTGCGAGGTGGTTGGCGTAATGGCATGTGGTCACCTGTAACAATGGAATGTTGCACAATGGTTGTCCGATTTTCAGAGATATTCTCCGAGAAAACAGTGCTAAATCGTTGGAGTACGTCAATGGTAGCTCGACGGTCCTTTTCACTTATTAATTGGTTCTCTTGTACCTGACGTACAATCTCTGCCATTCCCACCTGGGCCACAGTTTCGGTTGGCATTTCCCGGCGTTGTAGTTGCACGACAACCCCGCCAATTTTGGCTTCCGACTTATTCATGTCTATTGAGGCCTGATATCTTAACATGAAGTCAACCCCGAGTATCATGTTCCAGGTCAGTGTGGGGCAAACCAGCAATTCATGTGGAAAACGGTTCTTGTTTATTGTTAGCTCTAACCCTGTCTTACAACACGCAATGAAGAGGTCTCCGCTCGCCGTAATTAATGTAGAGGAGCATTGTTTACGCTGAGTGCTGTGGTTAAGTCTCTGCAAGAAGTCTTCCTTAATGAGGGATACTGAAGCTCCTGTGTCTACAAGTATGTCTAGCTCGATGTTTTGTACTCTAGCTTTAAACGTAGTTGCATTGACATGATTAACATAGGAAGATAAGTAACCAAAACACCGCTTACCTGGTTTACGGGGGCGGTTGTGACCGCATCTTCTGGCGTTCTTGCCAAACCTTTTGCAATATATACAGTCGGCTTGACGCCCATTGTAATTTCTCCATGCTGGTTGTTTAGTCCATCTCAAATTTGACTGTCCGCGGATAGCACCTCGGCCGGGAAGGTCGGTCACAGCCATTGTAGCCTGGCAGGTGTCCGGGCCACTAGATTTTGTGGCTCGTTCCACAGTCGTTACCGATGATGAATGTGCATTGGATAAATTCACTAGTTTGTCAGCGGCCAGGAAGCGTAATGTTGTTCTCTTTACGTCAGACGTATCAGTTGGTGGATTTCGAAGAAAGTGTTCTTTGACTGGTCCGGGCAACAGGCCCTCGACAAAACGTGAGCGTATTAGTTCCTCTCGTCCCATCATATCTAACCGGGGGAATGCTTGTACTGCGACTTGCTGTAGGGAATGAAGGTAGTCTACTGGACTCTCGCTCGCTTTCTGGTGGCGTGATAAAAACTGAATTGTCATCTGATGGGTGTCTACGGGCAGGGAAAAACAGTCGTCTAGAATTCTCCAGTTTTGTGAGAGCGTGTTACTGGCCGCAAAACCGTTCGCTATAGTCCTGCGTACTGCTTCATCGCTCAGATAGGAAACAAGGTAGTTGAAATGCTCGGTCAATGGAACTCTCTGAAGGTACGCTGTGACTTTAAACTTCCAAACGGAGTAATCTGATGATGTTTCGAGCAGTGGTGGCTGGCGTGGGGTTGAACTAGGAGTAGCCCTGATTGGAATCACAGGGGGTTCGTCTAGGTTCTCATCGCGTTTTTCCATCTCACCTCCGCCACCAGTTGTAACACGTGTAATCAGCAGTCACTGGAAGACGGGAAGACCTAAAGCCACAACACACACAATGTTAACTGAACACTTTACACCACAGAGAGAACGAGGAAGGGAGGCCAATGGACGTTTATTTTTAAAATTAAAATTCGCGGGTTCTGTACAGAAAGAGAGCTAGTTTACAAAACGGTCTTATGAGTCATCCTGTAAGTTTAGTGCGTGCAGGGCTTGCTCTTCTTCTTCTAAAGCGTTTATTCTAGCTTGCCCTGCAATAGAAAGAAAACAAAATCTATTAACAACATCATACATGATGATTTTAATCCCGTTACACATGTAATCGTTAATTGTAGCGCAGTTTTGGTAGCCTTGACGACAACATAATCTTTATGACGATATATGCTGGGAATCATCAACTACTGCAAATATGACACTACAAAAGGTACTTCTGTTATTAGGGGCCAGAGGTTCAACAATTATGGTTACTCAACACTTAATCATTTATTTATCAACTTGACACAGTTATCCAATTATCTAATTTTCTTATTAGAAGCAAATGGCATAGAATCTCACGGGTTCGTCCCAAAGGTTCTCCATTAGTAATGTGTAGATCAATTTAAACAAGTTGTCTTATGAAAACACAAGAATTTAGGAACAACATATTCACTACACATTAATCACAAAACTCAAAGTCCATTATTCGTTTCAGACTAAGTTCACTAAATCTATAGTTGAATTGTTAATGAGGTTGATACTTGGCTACATAAAATAGACTCAGTACTTTCTTGAATTAACATTACAATTTGAACTCCATCATTTGTACCTATGAGGCATATTTTATCAGTGTGTTGTCGCTGATTATTCAGATTCTTCACAGTTGCAGTGGCATTAGGCTCTAACCACACAATCCTCAAAGATGAACACGAGACAATTGGGGAATTATATATATATTCAACCCTCAATTCGGAGGAAAACCTAACGATGTTGTTGACGATGTCACAGGTATTCAGTGTTTGACAACGCTTCTACCAGTAACACCTTCTAATGTATTTCGTTCCCACCCAGAGAAATCAAAAGACAGAGTCGAGGAGATCGGAAGAGTATATTTGGCGATGACCAATATATCGGAATTCTCTGATCTAATCTGGCTAGCGATTGTGGTTGATGTTGAGCACGGCGTTACCACACGTGATCTGGTGCGGATGACTGACCGAGCGACTTCAGTTAGATGAGTCCACTAAAACATATGGTCAGCATCCAATGTCGAAAACTTACAAAGCTATTTATTTTGGGGATTTATTTACCGCTACAGATCACTCCCCCAGCCAGAAGTTTAAACCCAACGAGTTTGTCGTTGGTAAACACTCTTCTGATAGCTTACTAAATTTAGCAGCGTCTGGTCGTCTTTCCTTACTATATGGGATGGAGGTACAACATAGTAAAAAAAGAAAATGTACAATGAAAATTTCGGATCCTCATAAACGTCATCGTTCTTTTCCAGCCGTCCTGGAAAAGAAAAAAGAAAATGTAAGTGCATGTCGAGAATACACTCGTATTATAAATCCCCTTTTGCAATGGATCAAGTCTTTTCTTACGAACAGATATCAAATAACCAAGATTAACTCTAATACATCTACACCTCGACCGATAACCACTGGTGTTGTGCAGGGTAGTGTCTTGGGTCCATTGCTCTTTATAATCTACATCAACAATATATGCAAGTGTTTTAGCACAGGTAAGACCTACCTCTATGCCGATGACTTAAAAGTCATCTATAAAACTGACACTTGCGATTTACGCAGTACTATGCAAACAATCCAACATGAGCTGAACATGGTAGATGACTGGTGCAAACGCTGGAGGTTAGAGCTTAACATAGAGAAATGCGGCTGGTTATGTATAGGAGACACGTCTCTTAAAATGAAACTAACACTTAGTAATCACACACTGCCCAGACTGGCATCAGTAACTGACCTAGGGGTACATTACTCACACAGTCTTAATTTCTCTGAACACATCTCAGCCGAAGCATCCAAAATGCGGAAATTGCTTGGCTTCATTCTCCGTAATTTCTATCAAAATGAATCTAAAATCCTTCTTTATAAAGTTTGTGTAAGACCTATCGTTGAATACTGCTCGTTCTTATTTTCCAACCTACGCCTATCTGATATACTGAAGGTGGAAGGAATACAACGAAATTTTACTCGCGAAATATTTAAGAACGACTCACTCACTGAATACAGTTCTCGATGCCAAATCTTAGGAATAGCACCCCTTTGGGAGAGAAGGCTTAGATCTAATTTGATTCTCTACTTCAAACTACTCAAAAACCTTACTTATTCAACATGTCAGATAATTCTTGCCCGAGATTCACATGAATACGGACTTCGAAACAAAGTATCTACGGTCAAAGTTGAGAAATACAGATCAAAAACTCGGGAAAACTTCTTCCTCACCAAGTATGCAATAATATGGAACAGTCTTCCCTCTGAAACTCGCATGGCAGATGAACTACATACGTTTGTGAAACTGCTTGATCAGGCCCTCACTCGCACTGATCTTGCACGTACGAACACATCTGCGCCCCACTCAGACATCATAGGCTCTTTCCATGTCTAGACCAAAATGGACTTCAAGTTCAGTTTGCCCTATTTTTCCTACTTTGCAGTTGTATTAATTACTTTTTCCACCCCATTTCTTCACTTGAAGTAGACAGGTAACTCACTGGACCTATCATTACTGTTAAACTAAACTCGGTCGATAAGGGACATTCACTACCACCCTAAAAATTCAAGAGGACCGCACAATCGGCTGCCTACTACCAGCAGTCTTGCATCTATGGAACCTGTTACCAATCAACTGGTTAAGACAACAGAAAATAACATCAGCACCAAGTTACTGTGAGTTCCTTCCTGTTTATCCTGTATTAACTTTTTACTCTTCTGTACACTATGTTGACTAGCAATTAATATTATTTCTCCACTCGTTCTCTTATCCACAACTCATATACTTCTATACTTTTTCCGCCTGCTTAAATAAACAACTATCCTACAATATACCCTTCTTATCGCTTATACTCTGATTGGCAAACTATACTTTATACTATAGTCAACAGAGGCACTGCATCGATGCTTTACCCACAGTCCATAGCTTGTAACTGCCTGATAAGCTTGTAAAATGGTACTTATAGAAATAGTGCTTTCCAACAGGTTGTGAAACACAGAGAATTGTGTGAGGTATGACGTATATACAAAAATAAGCCTAAATGAGCCTAACATCACAAAAGGAGGGAGGGTGGAGTTACTGACCAGCAAGCATTGATGGCGAGGGCGATAACTTCAATCCACCCGTGTTTGTGGGGACAGAACATTTTGTATGTATCAGGCTCTTTATAATTGAGAATAAGACAGTCAATCTAAGATATAGATTGTCTTCCTACGCTCACCATTCAGACTCATGTTTCCAATATTATTCTGGATTAGCTATTCTACTAAGACAACCTATAACATGCGAACTCGGACTTTTACACTAGGATTGCGTGGCTGACATCGAATGGACAAAAAAGAAAAGAAAACAGACAATAAAAGATATAGTCACTAGTATTCTTAACGCTTCATCCTCTATACATACACCCTTCGAATAAACCGCTTCCCTTGTACCAACCTTGACTTCCCTTCACTCATGTGAGCTTACTCCAACTTGTTAAACATCACAACTCATTGTTCTTTATTAGTACATTCTCTAATATGGAGCCTTTGACTTCACTTCACTCTAACAAGACATTATATGAATTTATTCTACCTCTGTCCGTTCTACTACACAATGTTAAGCAACCTTTGGCGTTCATATCCAAGTGCCTTGCTGCTCTTCTGTTTCTCTTT